CAATATTCCACCAGCAACATCATTAAGTCCTTTTCCTGCCAAAAGCTGATTAAAAGTTATACAGCTGTGACCCTTCCAGATTATTCAGATTAATTGTACCGGATCTCACATGACCACTGTACCTGACTGTTGTTCAAAAAGGCAGCCGGGGAAAAAAGATGCAGCTGCTTTAAGATGTGCAATAAAGACGTATTGCTTTAATGGTTTGTTTCGTGAAAAAGCAGCAACTTTTCAATGCTTGTGTGGAGTGGAGGGAATTGGCTGCTTTAATGAAAGGAGGAAGGCTCTGATGGGCTGGCTGCTAAAGCAAGGTCATGGCACATACTTGAAAGTAAATCAGGAAGACTGTAATTGTGGGGGGGATCTGTCTCACAAGAACAAAGAATGCTTATCAACAGGAAATATGCATGTGAAAAACTTGTAGCAATTATGGGTTAGAAAGATGATAAGAGTAACAAGAATTAGACAACTTGCAGACCTCAGCTAAAAGTTAGGAATAGAGATGGCTGGCAGCAAATGAAATGTGTATTAGATAACTCCTGCAGCATTCATTAGCCAAGGCTTAGGAATGGGACAGCTATAGACCAATAGAACAAATTGTAGAATTATTACTAAAATATTTATTAGATTATATTTCTTATTATTTCATCTTGTTCCGCCTTCTCCTTTAATGAAAATGTATAAAGCTTTCTTAATCCTTTGTTTTTGGTTCTTTGCTTTTTGACCAGGAACCCTTTTCCTTTGAGTAATTCAAATAAAAAGCAATCAGAAAACCTGCACCTCGTGTCTGGCGTCCATCATTGGCTTTGGCCCCAGGCTCAGACCCGAATTGGGGACAACAGCTCTGTCTTTGCACAAGATCTGGATCATTCCATTCAGAATATGTGATGGAGTGGAATTGGAATTTGGGAGTCTCTAGGTGCCTGTTATGAGAATATCAGTTCCTAGGAGACTGAGAGTTCTATAGGAAAAGAAAATATAAGTGCATCTCTCTCTCCCTTCCCCAAAGTTGATCTCTCAATCAGAAAGATTGATTGTGATACTCCCCTCCCCTCCCCTCAAGAATCCTGCTAATAGATCAGTTGGGGGAGGAGTTTTCCATAGACTATCAATCTTATAGAAATCTCCACTGTTGCTAGACACAAGCCTTTTGAACAGTGGAGATTTCTATAAGATTGATAGTCTATGGAAAACGCCTCCCCCAACTGATCTATTAGCAGGATTCTTGAGAGTATCACAATCAACCTTTCTGATTGAGAGGTCAACTTTGGGGGAGGGAGAGAGGTACTTATATTTTCTTTTTCTATTGAACTCTCAGTCTCGTAGGAAGATCTACATAACAAAGATCTACCTCCTTCAGGCAGAACCATAATAGGAATCCCAAAGCCCTTTCTTTACATCATCACCCAGCACCAGCAAGGCTCAACCAAGCTTGGGATTCAAAAACACAACCTACAAAGTTACCCCTGCATGGCCCCATGGGAGTCTGACAACCGATCAGAATTCAAGCTCAAATTCAAAAAGCCAAGAGGGTATAAAACTCAGCGACTCTCAGCATGTCTTCTCTTTTTTTCTTCTTCACCCAACATTTTCAAGGCATGTGATCCTGTCCACCATTAAAACCACCTTTCCAAACAGTCTCCATGTTTCCAGTGTCTTTTTCCCCACTTGGAACTGAACCCAGATGGACATTTCTTCCAACAGAGGTTCCCAAGTTGCAGTTCAATGGGGTGAGAAGGAAGAAGAAAGCATGGAGTTGGGCACACATACTAGTCAGTATGAGAAAAATTGGAGGGGGGGGGGGTAGTTGCAGAACTTTGTCTTCACCAGATAGGTGTGAGAGATTGTGAAGAGCCTAAGAAAGAAATTGGGTATCAACAACCAACAGCTGGGAGAAGAGGCCTTTTAGTAGCTTATCTCATAAATAGCAGCTCAGCCTGGGATGCAAAAAATCCAGGAAGAACTTCAAAACATTCAAAGAGTTTTTGCCTAAATGAATTCACTAATAAAAGTGTTTCTGAGATTCTGTCCCTCGCTCCTAATTTTTTGCATTAAACCTCCTTATTGAAGTCTGTGTGATTCTTCTTTCTTTGATCCCACCCTGTAGGACAGGCAGCACAGTGGAAGACACAGCTGTAGTCCAACTTCTTTTGCTAGAAATGCCACCTATCTCTTCCCGGTCTCCCTTCTAAGAAGAGTGATCTTTTCCCCTCCATTTACTGAACATTAACACTTCAGAAGAATATGCTGTGCTGAGCTGTTTTCTGTGGTCTGGAATTAAATCTCCTCCTCCTTTCCCCCCCTTTTAGGCTGCAATTCTGTACTTACTTCCCTTCACTCATACTGTATATATGAACTGGGCTGCATGAATCTGAATGACTTCTATATGGCAGCACCTATGGCTTTCACTTTTTTCCTAGGACTGGTCTTATCAAAGAAAAAGAGGTTGATAAATCTGTATCAGAACAAACAGGAGTATTCTATACCCTTGTCAAAGAAAAAACAAGTCTTTCCAACTGACTGGTAATATGTTGGAGATGCATGGAAATGATCACAGAAGCAAACTAGCTTGTTGTCCATTATACAAATTCTTTTTTATCCAGAGGTGGGCTGCTGCTGGCTCCGACTGATTCGCCTATACCGATAGTTCCAACCACCAGCTTCCTCCCCCACCGCCCCAGTGCTATCCCGTCCTATATATCTCACTCTCTGGCTCGCTCTCCCTGCCCACGCAGCCCAGCTGATTTCCACACCTTGCCTGCTCTACTCACTGCAGCTGCCCAAGAAGGTGTGCTGGAAGCCATGTGCATGAAATCACTGTGTGTTTCATGCCACACACAAGCACGGGAGGCGCATGTGCGAGTGAAGCATACATGTGTGCATGCGCTCACATTTCTGGTTCTGTACTAGGCGAACCGGTTGTTAAATTATGTGAAGCCCACCTCTGTTTTTAATTTGACCTCTAATTCTGAAGATTTTGTGGATGGTTTTTTTTTGAGGGAGGTGGGAGTTCTAAGAGGTATATTGGTCTCCTGGAAGACCGGCATTCCTTCAGGAAACTCTGCTCTTCCAGGAGAGCAATATTACCATGGCAAAAGAAAACAAAGCAAAAACAAGCTGCATAGACAAGATAGCTGGTTTCTTAGTTGAAATGAACAGACCTGTTCTATATCTGCGGTATATCAGAAGAAGGAGGAAACATTTTACCAGTGGTAGGACTAAAGACGTCAGGCTGCTTCTGCCACAGTCATAAAGACAGCTCCCTTATCATGTTGGACTAAGCAGGGTGTGATGATTAGCTCCATATCTTGAAAGTCTTATACACTTAAGATTATTTTTATACTAAGTTCTATAAATATGTTCCCTTTAACTCTTAGTTAAAAGTCAAGTAGTCCCTATGAATCCATAATAGTTTTCATTGCTCTCTCTCACTCAACTGGTGTATGATAGCGTCAGGGATGTAGTATTGCCAGTATCTTATTTCTGATAAGTTTTCAACTCTCTTGGCTTTCTTTGACCTGGGGATTTCAATCTGTGAGATCTCACAGTACTTCTCGAAACTTCTTGATATTGGCTCTTCTGAAATCAAATGTATGACAATTAGCTCAATTTCTCTATCTGCAGTATCTCAAACCACAAAGGGATAATATGTTCATGCCATCCCAAAAGTCTCATTGCTTCAACTAGCTGTTAATTAGTGGGGAACTTTTTTTTTTTAATTCAATAGCAGGGATTTTAGAAAAGACAGAAAAAAGTAGTCTTTTTTGAGATTGTATCTTCCAGAGATAGTTATGCTTTCTTATTTTTAAACTAGGATGCCAAGTCTAGACTGCAAAACTCTAGACAGCTACATGAAATGCTAGCAAAGAGTGTTTATTGTATCACTTTGCTGCCCATCTACTGGTTGTGTAGCTCATAACTAATAGTTCTAGGCTAAAGTACTCAGCACATGCTAAAACTAAAGTCAATCTTTGCTATTACTTTATAAGTTCCTGGACTGACTTTGAGTATAAATATCCCCCCCTTTTTTTTGTTTTACTTATGGTTGCAAAAATCCCTGCAATTGCAATAGGCCAGCAAAGAGTTCAGATCTCTGTATTTTGCATTTCCTTGTATTGCCAGGATGCTTGCAGTCTAGATCTGTTAGCCCCAGTTTTGGTAATACCAAAAAAAAAAAAGGCTGGGGGGCAGAAACCTAAACTTGTAGGTTCAGGGTTGACACCAGTGGTGGTATTCAAATAATTTAACAACCGGTTCTCTGCCCTAATGTTTTCTCCCAACAACCAGTTCACTAAACTGCTCAGAAAGTTAGCAACTGGCTCTCCCGAAGTGATGCGAACTGGCTGAATCCCACCACTGGTTGAGGCTTTGGAATAAGTGCAAAGAAGAGCATCTGACATAATTAAGAGCCCAGAAACAAAAACATATGAAGAATTGTTGCGGGAATGGCCTGTCTAAGGAAAAGAAGGACCTGGGGTGACATGATAGCAGTGTTCCAGTATTTGAGAGGCCAGCGCAAAGAAGAGGGGGTCAACTTATTTTCCAAACCACCAGAAAGCAGGACAAGAAACAATGGATGGAAACTAATCAAGGAGAGAAGCAACCTGGAATTAAGGAGGAACTTCCTAACAGTGAGGACAATTAACAAGTGGAACAGCTTGTCTTCAGAAGTTGTAGGTGCTTCATCACTGGAGGTTTTTAAGAAGAGATTGGACAGTAACCTGTCTCAAATTGTAGAGTCTCCTGCTTGAGCAGGGGCTTAGACTAGAAGACCTCCAAGGTCCCTTCCAGCTCTATTCCGATTGTGATTGTGTAATCATTGAACTTGGGAGAACTGCCTACTGAGCAGATGGCCAGTGATGGCAGCAATAATCCGCCCTGCAAGGCAGGGCAAACTGACAAATGCTTTCAGCAAATGAGAGCAGTAAATAAGTCATAAATAAGTGAATCAATAAACTGGGATGCAAAGGTTAAACTACAGTGTCAGTTCACAGTAATTTGCAACATTATTTCCTCCTTGAACAGTGAAAGGAAGATGCATTGTGACAATACATGAAGAAAAGTGGATGGACTGTCTCTTGTCTGCTTGATGGCTTTTCTCAGGCCATTTTGTTCTTCTGTGCTCTTCCTCTTGCTATCAGTAACACAGGTTGAGACCCAGAGTGCAGGTAAGTTGCTACGGATGGGCAAAGTTTTCTCTATAGAATCAAATGTTTAAATGTGGTGATTGGGAATTGCATACATTAAGTTATTCCTGCAAACACACAATATAATTGGGACTCTTAATGTGCGAATCTGGATGTGATATGTAACAAGCACAAACGCATTCACATGCGCACACATCTGGACTTACTTAAAAGAAATGCCGATCATGTTCACAAGAGTTTACTGTCTTGAAAGATAGCATAGAGACAGTACTTTGTTATGCCAAGAATATTCCAATATATATTATTTCTAATATTGTAAATATTTTAACAGACATGTTAACTGGTTAGGTTAATAGTTTAAACTTTAATAAAAATTTTCAAAAGTCTAGACTAACATTTTAAAATAACACCTCAATTTCAAAGGTGACTGTTTTATGTTTACTTAACAAGTTATGTAAACAATTAATTTAAAATAATTGCATTGAAAAGATGAAAGAATGTCCACATTGGTTCTTTTCTTAGCTTTAGAATGTCCACGTTGCAAGCTAGTAGATGTTTTCAGAAGGAAGTTGACGAGCGACTTGTTCTCTGACATTACATAAGCTTTGACGTGCATGTATTTGGATCTCATGTTGGATAAAATAATTATTAGAAAACTCTTACCAACTTTCCCATTGCAGTGAAATTTGGCATAAATTCATCACAAGTGATATACTGGAATGGAACAAAATTAGGGCTTCCAGAGCAAGACTCTAAAATCCAGTAGATATCACATTATTTTTGCTGCCATCTCAATCTAATACCCCTAATGAAATAGTAGCTCTATTCAAAGTGTGAATTCTTATGACTCTGTTTATTAAATTCATGCCAATATAATCTATTTTCTTCTCTTTTATCAGAATGTTCGGTAAACGAACGTTTGGTGGAAATAATGGAGAATAATAATCCAGGCTTGGTGGTGACTAACATTCATGCTAATCCTGGCATTATAGTCACAATTAAATCTTCCACAGAAGCAAGTTCTCCCTCTGAATGGTTTGAAATAAAGGACTCACAACTTATCCTGAAAAAGTCTGTGGATTTTGAGGTAATACAATGGAGAGGGGGCAGAAAGCCTTAAATCCAGCAGCAAATGGATGTCAGGGAAGCCTTTCCAACCTAGCTCTCTCCAGATGCACTGGATATTTAATCCCCTGGTGGGAACTGTAGTGTAACTTTTATAGGGAATGCAAGCTTGTGGAAGGATGGTCACTTTGATTGGATTGAGGTGTATGTATATAAAGACTGTGTAAAATGCAAGTGAATTGACACAAGGGACACACAGTAAAACTATTTGATAGACGTAATTAATATATAGGTATTAGTAAATATAATGTAGCACATGCTTTGTGTTTATCAGTTGCCCCAAAGTTATTCCTTCCTATTCTAAAGATTGTGTAGGTGTCAATGTATCTTGGTAAAGTTAGATGAAAACTCCCAGTCTCTCTTTACAGGTATGCAATCTACCAAGTTTAAAGAAAGTGGAGAGGTCCAAGGAAGAGTTTAGCTCTTCTGGAAGACATATGGCAGTCCCGAGCCTCACCTGCTTATAATGTGAGGAGGCCTCTGCCTTCCTAAGACTTCTCCAATGACTCATATGCAAGAAAATCCCTCGCAACTGAGCTGATTCCAATATTGTAAAGCAGGGGCGATGTGAGATAGTCTAATACATTTAGCTAGGATGGTTAAAAACCTGGGGGCTCTAATTTCACAGCATGCTAAATTTGGTTAAGGTTAATTTTGGTTGAGCTTTGGCGACTCCAACCCATCTATCAATTTTGGGAGCTCAGAAGACGAATTAATCCAGTAAATGGTTTTAGTATGCTCTATGAACACAACTTATCAGTGGAAAGGAGGCAATATGGCTAGTCCTCGACTTACCACAGTTCATTTAGTGACAGTTTGAAGCTTCAATGACAGTAAAAAAGTGACATAATCATTTTTTACACTTACGACCATTGCAGTATCCCCATTGAGCATCCCCATGCTCAAAATCCAGATGCTTGGCAACTGGTTCATACTTATGATGATTGCAGTATCCTGGGATCATGCTATCCCCTTTTGCGACTGTCTGACAAACAAAGACAATGAGGATGCCAGATTCACTTAACAGCCATGTTACTAATTTAACAACTGCAGTGATTCACTTAACAGCTGTAGCAAGAAAGGTCACAAAATGCACAAATTCACTTAACAACTGTCTCACTCAGTAACAGAAATGTTGGGCTCAATTGTGGTCGTAAGTCGAGGACTGCCTGTTCTTCAAGTGGAAGATCTCAAAGATGCTCACTACCTCTTGTTCTCTTTGCTGCCTGAGTCGAGTGAAAACCACTTTGCATACCAAAAGTGTCCCATGTGCTTGTTAGGTGTATGTAAGACCACTGAATTTCCCTAGAAATATATACTGTATGAAAATGTGAAACTAAGCGGCATGAAAGCTCTTCATTCTCAAGCAGAGTTAAACATTATCCAGCCTTGATATTATAAGTCACGAACCTGCTTATTTTTGTACTAGTTCAACCTCTGAGCAGTAGTTTTCAATGCTCCCAGTGTGCTGGGCGGGCCAAATGGAAATCTTTTTCCCTTTCATCAATAGGCTCTGCTTTCCACTCTTGAATGTTTCAAATAGAATAAGAATAAAGAACAAAGATTCAGAGACTTTGAAACCTGGAGTAATTGCTAGATGGACTTCACTCTTCTAAGTATAAATCTTTAAAGAACAATACAGTAATAGAGAAACCTAAGATATTTTCCTTTATATCTATGCAATACCATTAGAGTACATTTTTTGTTTCATTTACTACTGTTGGAAAGGGAATTCAAATTAAACTTAGAAAAATAAATAGGGGAAAAAATAAAAAGTACAAAGAAAGAAAAGAAGAAGAAAGTAAGGCAAAAGAAAAGAAATACTGTATGTAAAAATTGACTTCCAATCTTCATCATAACAAGTAACACATTTGATAACTCTTCACTCCCATAAGACTGCAAACAAATATATCGTCTTCCCATAACCCATGCCTTTTATATGCAAAACCATAAATCATCAACTTTTCAATCCTGCTGTCAGCAAAAAGGCTATAAAGGACTACTAGAATTTTATTCTTCATGTTTTATTTTAACATTCAACTTTATATTCTTTTACTTCTGTCCACCTTGATTTATAATAAACTCAGATGTTGTTGTAGGACTTGGCCTCTTTTCAATTTTTCTTTTTCCCATCACAGAGCTTTCTTTAAAGTTTTAGCAAACCTCCTTTGTAAAAAATTATCCACATTATTGTCTTGATTTATCATCTGTATTTCCCCGTTGATTTTCAAAGCTTTAACCAGCCTTTTTTGAGTATCCAACAAAAAGTCCTTATCAGAGTCATTCACTTGTCTTGCCATTTGTAATTCCACTTTAATTGCCTTCTCCAACTTGCAATTCACACTTTTTTGTATTTCCACCTGGATTTTTAAAGCTTTAACAAGCTTATTTTATGTATCCAGTAAAAGGTCCTTATCAGAGTTATTCTCTTCCTTTATAATTTGTAATTCCCCTTTAACCTATCTTCTTTCCAAATAATTTTATTAAACTTTGGATAAAGCTATAAAAGGTGTGTGTGTGTGTGTGTGTGTGTGTGTATGTGTGTGTGTGTTCCAGCATAACTCTGGAACACCGCAAGCAGTTTCAACCAAACTTGGTACACAGATGACACTCTTTGAAAACAAATACTGTGGGGATAAGACACCCCTAAAACTTTTCTGGGTGTGTGTTCTGTTAAGTTACAGTCTGTTGTGCATTATAATGGCTTCTACTGTACTGGCGTAAACTGTGCAGTGCAATGGAGTTGCCATGATAACGGCTTCACAGTACTCTACAAGGGGGCTCCCTCTTGTAAGGGGAAAATCCAATGTTAGAAATTATGTTTGGTCTGGACATTTCCACCCTATAAATAAATACCTGGGCAACGCCAGGTTATCAGCTAGTATAGACTAAAAAAGAACCAAATCAAATAATATATATATGTATGTATGTATGTATGTATGTATGTATGTATGTATGTATGTATGTATGTTTGTGTTTTTAATTTGTTCTGATAAATAAAGGGAGACTAGTATAGATCTATTTCAAGCTATTTAGCTCTCATCAGCTAGCCATACCCTTACTGGGATTTGAACCTGGGCTATATTACATACTAGGCAGACTTCTTAGCCATTAGGCCACAGGCTCTTATCCGTTATCAGCGAAGCCAGGGTGAAACGTATCTATTAGATTTTTACAACTCCTGGTAAGCCCCAATTATGGGAGGAAGCTAACTGCTTCCATCATCTGTCAATCGGCTCGTCACAAGAGTCCATCACGACAGAAACCCAATGTTTTTTACTGTTGCCTTTGTTATATTTGTGTTTTTTTTAATTTGTGCTGATAAATAAATAAAGGGAGACTAGTATAGATCTATTTCAAGCTATTTAGCTCTCATCAGCTAGCCATACCCTTACTGGGATTTGAACCTGGGCTATATTACATACTAGGCAAACTTCTTAGCCATTAGGCCTGATAACGGATAAGAGCCTGTGGCCTAATGGCTATATATTTCCCTTATATTTCCCTCCTTCCCACAAGAAAAGGATTTCCTATTCTCTTTGTGGCTGACTATATAAACAAGTCTGTGTTCTCTTCACCTTCCCTTAGCTAACCAATATAAATTCTTCATTGCATCAACCCTCTCTTAACAATAGACAAATCAAATAAGTAGCATCTTCTTTAAATCCAGTAATCAGGAAAACATCTAAATAGAGCTTTTAACATTAATTAATATGTATAAAACTCATCATTGCTTCTTAGCTATAACAAAATCCCGTTTTAAAGTCCTGAAATGATGCTAATATCCTACTATAAACAAAAAATTTAAAAACTCTTTAGCGCTTTAAATAGTCTCTTTTATAAATCCACCAATGATTGAAATGAAATGATTCCAATTATTCTTGGGGATTTTTTTTTCCTTCTTGATTTTTAGAACCTCATTCAGTATATCTGATAGCAAATTTTTGTTCAAAGTCTTGTTCATATCTTCCTCAAATAGATTTTGCTGCATGTCTCATTTGGTAACATCTTCATTTTGGAACAAATTGTTCTCTGGCAGACATAACATAACTGTCATTTCTTGACACAAAACTCTATGCAACTCTTCAAAGATGTCTCTAAAATATCATTATAGATTGCTTGTCTTATAATTCCAATTTTAAAAAGAATTTTTCTTTTCCACAAGCATTTTTTTAAAAAAATCATTTCAAAATTTTAATATGTAAGGTCCAAAACATTTTCTGAGTCCTTAAAACTTTCTGTTGCCAAAGCTTTGTTTACATTTTGCTGTCTGTTTTAAAATCTACTTTCATAATATTTAGTCCATATTCTTATATTGAGGATTGAAGGTTCACTCACCTGATGCTTCCAGCTTCATTACTTTGAAGGTGTCAAAGTTTGTTTTTAAACAATGAATAGGCAATTTTGGAAAATCGTTAGCAAGGGAAGTTAGCACAACTTAATGTCCTTTGCAAGGTTCCATTTGTAATGGAAGCAAAATGGTGGATTCCCCCATCATCTCTCAATCCACCGTCCCCTCCTCACATACAGGAGATCGCTGTCTTGCATTCACTTGTGAGAAAAAGGAACGTCCATCAGGAGAAACAGTTCATGCAATCTTGTGTCACTCTTTGTCCATTTTGAAAAGTTGCAAATGGCAGCTCTGCTTGTTGGCAATGCTGTAGTGGTCAATTTGCCATATTTTCCATAAAGGCCTGCCTTCTCTAATCCATGCCTTTTTTATTATTCAATATTTCTAGTTCTAGTATTTCTTCAATGCATCAGATTTAATATCTTCTGGACATAACGAAACAGACATCATTGCTGACAATTCTGATTTTGTAACTACTAAATGTTTGGCCCATTCTTCAAAATCCTGACCAGCTCAAGATTGACTCAGTCCTTCCAGGGTCAGTAAAATCAGGACCCAGAGAAAGCTGTAATGCACTATGGAGTGGTATATAAGTTGAAGTGCTATTGCTA